TGGAAGGAATTGAGGGGTGATGAACTGAAAAGATGGTTTTGGAAGAGAGAGTGAGTCAGTGATGCCGTGTTAGCAAAACTACTGAAAATGACATATGGCATCTCAGGAACATACTCTGTGGTCCAGCTGCCTGCAGAAAGGACATGTAGCTGCCAGCAAGCAGGGGTTGTGGTCTACAACATCCAGGCCTGTCCACAAATCTTACTACTTCAAAGGGTTTCATTTTCCAGGGGGAAATGAGAATCTTTGGGGCCTTATTTGCAGCGAGTCCTGAATGAGAGGTGGTGAAATTGCAGGGAGAGAAGTAACTGAGAAATGCAGTTTTGTTTTGCAGGCTGGCAGCCTCGATGGTTTCTTCTCTGTGGTGGCATCCTGTCCTATTATGACTCTCAGGAAGATGCCTGGAAGGGTTGTAAGGGAAGCATCCAAATGGCCGTGTGTGAAATTCAAGGTAACTAAGATACAGCAACACTCAGCTGCACAGAGTTTGTCCAATAATGCTGCAATCAAGATGAGATTTCAGATCACAAGAGCTATTTGACAGCTTGATTTCTTTGGTATAGATTTGTAGTAACTCAGTAACTTGATCTATATGCCAGTTTTTATTCTATAGTATTTTGAAAATGTTAAGAGAGCTGCGAGCCTCTAATATAATGGGTATTCTACATGCAGGTGAGTCACTGTTTTTCATGAGCCATAGTGGAACATCACAGAGGCTCAAATGACTCTTCATAAGCACAAAGCTGAAGCTAGAAATATGAATAATAAACTTCAGTACTCGGTCTGCTCACTCATATTGGATTACTTGCCACATCTTTGAGGTTCAGTTACGGGCTGGAAACCTGAAAGAGAGGCTTGCCAGAAGAGGATGCCCTTTCCATGAAGACTCCCAGATGATACTGTACTGACCACAAAACTGCCTGTCATAGCCTTTTGTCCCACAGCTGTACACATGTGTGTCCTGTCTATTCCCTAACTCAGAAGAGAAGTCATAAAATGTCAACAGGGGAAGTTTGGGGCTGTAGATTCCTCCTCTTTCGTTACTGTTTGACCTGCCACCTAACATATCTGTTGGGATATGCAGTTGGACTGGGAAGGGCTGAGGGACTGATCTGAAATCTATGTTGCTTCCAGTTCATCCTGCAGATAACACACGAATGGACCTGATCATCCCAGGGGAACAATACTTTTATCTGAAGGCAAGAAATGCAGTCGAAAGGCAGAAATGGCTGGTCGCACTAGGAACTGCCAAAGCCTGTCTGACTGACAGCAGGACACAGAAGGAAAAAGGCAAGAACACCCTTTTGCTGGCACATACTGTTTGCTTTTTATTTCCCCGTCCTTGCCCTAGTAGATGTACACACAAAGATGACAAAACCCATGCCTGAACTCTGTGCCCAACCTGTGTTTCAAGTCTTTGGTACCGCTAAAAGCCAAGCCATGTGGGATCTCTAGCTAGAAATCTCAGGTGTTAACTATCAGTGCAGGGATTTGAAAACTTTAGCTTTTCCTTAAAATATACTATGTATAAATCATTTGAAAACTGTGTGCTGATGGTTCTGTAAGTACAAGGATTGAGTGGCTCCTTGGCTGCGGGTCACTGGGATGCAGACTGTGCATGGAGGTAAGACCCCCATCTTGTGCAACTGTCTCAGTATGATGACTCAGCCTCTCATACCAGCGTCTCTTGAGCTTTGGAGTTCCTCAGACCCTTTCCTTCTATGTTCTAACTGGGCTGTCTTATGCACTTCAGGAATCCCTTGGCAGTTAAAATAAAGGTTTGCAATTGGTTTTAAATGTGCATACTAGTATTCGGAAACTGAAATCTGATCATGGTCAGGCTATGAAAGTTAATTCACTTACCTCTTTGCTTTCACCAATGTCACTTTCACCCCAATGAAAACCCCTCTTGCTTACAAGCGTGGTGTTATCCATGAGTCAGTGTGAGACCTCATGCTTTAACCTTGTGTAACCTCAGCACAATGACTATGCGGAAGATGGGAAAACAGCAAATTATTGTTAATATATCAGTGATCCTGAGCAAATGCAGGTGGGTTGGGCACTTCCTTTCCCTGAGGTGAGGAATCGCTTCTCCTCAGCCTTATGTGCATCTTCACCAAGCTTTGCATCTACTGGTTCAAACTGAGTCAGAACCGAGCAGAAGATGCTGCTGCAGGGTCCTACACAAAGTGGGAATCTGATGCGCAGTGCGTAGAAGCACAACAAAGTTATATCTATAAACTGACATACAGTAGCACAGGGTGAAAAGCTACTGATGTGTTTGCAGAACTAAACCTTGTTAGTCTTATTAACAGACAAATTAATTTATTTTGTAATTCTGGGACTCTAATGTCAAAAAATTACTTCTGAAAAATCTCAGATTGACTGTTAGTCATATCTGGATTAGTCTGCTCAGTTCTGCACTCTTCAGTACAAGAAACATATGGACATACTGGAGTGAGTCCAGCAAAGGGCCACTAAGATGATTAAAGGAAATATCTGATGGGAAAGCATAAAAAAGATGGAGCCAGACTCAGTGAATGGACAAGAGGAAACGGGCATAAATTTAAATACAAGCAACTCCACTGAGACATAAGCAAAAATGCTTGTATTGTGAGGATGAGGGAGCACTGAAACAGGTTGCACAGAGAGGTTGTGGAGTCTCCATCCTTGGCAATGTTCAAAACCTGACTAGACATGGCCCTGAGCAACGTGCTCTGGCTGACCCTGCTTTGAACAGGGGAGTAGGACTAGCTGGTCTCCAGAGATCCCTTCCAACCTCAACCATTCTATGATTCAAGGATATATATTAAATTAATCCCTTCATGTTGGACAGGATGCGTCTTTTGCCTCCAGTGTTTTCTACCCAAACCCTGATCTTTTAATTCATGGTGTGATTTTTTGCATCTTGAACTACTTAGTGAAAACAAAAAATATGATATGTAGGGGTTTCATCCTATTTAAAAGGCCCGTTAAGGTCAAGTGTTGTATACTTGCTTTTTCTCTGTGTCCTAAGTCTAGGAACATACTGTTCCTGTCTATGATGGCAAATAATGAAACAGTATTTTACCTGTCAGAAGCATAATTTATGGCCAATCCAGCTCATCTTTTTGAGTCGATAGAAACTGTTTTGAAATAAGGAAGTATTGATTGAATTAGATTGGATAATACTATTTCAGCAACTTTCCAAAATCATATACTGCAAGATGGATACAATAAATTTAACTCTTCTTTTGTTTCACTTTAGAGTTCACTGAAAACACAGAAACCTTGAAGACTAAAATGTCTGAACTTAGACTGTACTGTAACCTTCTTGTTCAGCAAGTGCATAAAACGAAGGAAGCCAGCATTTCTGGTGTGTCAGAACCAGAGGTACAGCTCTATTTTTGGTGTAGACCACATCTGTAAAGTCTTGAGCATTGTGAATTCTTCTGGTTAGCCAATGTAGTATTCACTCACAGTTACTTAACATTGCACCCTCTTTCTCCAGAGAACCTGTTGGAAATAATGTACCTACACAACAGTTCTTATTTAAATGGAGTAATACTGTATTGTTGCAAATAATTCTCCCTGTGTTGGGGTAGCAAGTAGTGAGATGAGATATGATATCTGTGTTCTAGATAATAACATCTCTGTAGGTGATCATGTGTATATAGTGGATGAAAAAAGCAAAAGATTTTTTATAAAAAGATAACTTGCAGGAAGCGCACATTTGTCTGCCCCTGAGTCATTAATATCCTGCTCAGCAAAACACTTCTGTTCTCAACCAAAACCCTTAAAAGGTCAAGAGACAATGCAGACCACAAAAAAGCAAAACTGCTAGAAAGAACTGCCTGATTAGCCTCACTTAAGTTAAAGTTTCAAACCTTGCAAATCTTCCTGACCAAAGAAGCTTCATTTAAGAGGAATCTCCTAATGACAGTGATCTGCCCCTTGCTTTGAGAGAGAAACGTGTAAAGAGGGTTGGACATCACTCGCTCAAGAAGCTGGTGTGGAGTTGCAGGATGCCTCCCACTGGAGAGATGGGTCCTCAGGTGCAGGACAGACAGGCAAAACACTTGAAGGTTAATCATTTGTATGTCCAAACCATCTCTGTAAAGATACCTGATAAACTGTTTATGGTGAAGTAACAGCCAGTGCAGGAGCATGATGTAAGTGTATAAATGACTAAAAGGCACTGTCAGAAGTTGCAGCTCACAGGTGTTGACAACAAACAAGTAATGTGGTGTTTATCCAGCTCATAGTTCATGCTTCTGGGGGAAAACTCGCTTTTCCTGATCTTATTGGTATTTAAATGGAAAGATTTCTTGTAAAAGCATTTCAGCATCAATAACTGCACTTTGCAGAGATGAAGAGTATTGTGGCAATGTGATACTTCATTCGGCCTGTTTTTCAATTGCAGTAATTTTTTGTTCATGGGATTTTTGAAATTATTATCTGCAGCTCATTCTGTATCTATGTAATTTGTTTACTTTTCATTTCTCCTGTCAGTGGTGTCTTCTGGAATGCCATTGGTGAATACATCAAGGCTTAGTATTTAATACACTTTTAACACCGGAGATAAGTAACTAAGAGGCATTGCTTTTAAAACACAAGCATGCTGAGCTTGCTGTAGTGAGAGACTGACAAGAGTGGTAATGCTGTGAGGGGACATAGCCCCAGTAATATGTGATGCCAGTTCTCTGAGCAGCTGACACATTGCATTTTAATTCATGTTAAACAGAAATCATGACTGTAGCAGTTCTGGGCTTTGTAGACGCTAGTTGCTCCAAGTTGATCTTCTGTGGTGAGTCCATGTCTTCCAATTGATTTCTTCCCACAGAGCGGGATTGATATGGGAGCTCTGTTAAAATCAACCTGTGACACCTTCCTGAAGACTCTTGAAGAATGTATGCAGATTGCAAATACTGCCTTCACTTCTGAGTTATTGCATCAGACCCCACCTGGGTCCCCACATTTAGCAGTTCTCAGAACGAACAAGGTAACGGCCAGTATCCTTTTCTCTCAGTCTTGGCATGGATGGTAAGGTGCCCTTTTGTAAAGTAGCATTTGTAGAAGCAGGGAATGCATTTTTACCCATATGGTAGCTAGTAGTCCTCCGCTGGACATACTCTGCTATTTCTTATGGTTTGCAAGTGAGGCAGAGCCATTTTTTACTAAGCAGTGACCAATATGTTAACTTTTAATGATAGGTGAAAGTATTAAGCATTAACTTTCGGGGCCTGATCCAGCTGCAGACAATGATGTTTCAAAAAACACCTGGCTGTGTGACAAGTTGGTCCACTGTGGGAGCTCTCAGCAATTATTACTGTTCTAAGCTACTGCAGCACTGGTTCTGTGGTAATACATCAACAGGAGCTGATGAGCTTATCTTTTTAATGACAAGGGCACTTTCTTGAATCCTGGATGCACAACTACATACACAAAACTGGAGCATCTCTGGCAAACAGCAGATTAAGGTGTATGTAGGAAGGTAGATGTGTCACTGCATCTGGGAAGTGAGATTACTTTACCATACCTGGTATCTGGCCTCATGTTTCTTCTGGTTTTTCATAATTTTTTTCTTAAGTGAAAAAACGTCATTGCAAAGAAAACTCACTGCCTTGTTTCTTTTCCACATGCTGTACGGTGTCTCACTTGGCACTTGCTAGCTAGCTTCTGAAAGAAGTCTCCTGGTTTTCTTTTTTTTTTTTTGGTCTTTTTTCTTTTCAATATTTTAATGCTGTAAAAAAGTAGTGCCTTTTTCGCATTTGTCTGTATACTGCCTCCAGGTCAGAGAATTAGTGAGCGTATGCTTAGCTTTTCAGCTTTTTTGCTGACTCCAGCTTGGGTTTAATAAAATGTGAAGTTTGAGAAGCATGATACAGTCTTCTTGCTTTAAAGAATATTCCCCTTCCCCACTTATCTTACAGATAAAGCACTCTGTCTTGTCCAGTCACACCTCAATGGAAAGGTATAATAAAAGTCTTTACCGTCAATCTCTTTCTAATCTGTTTTTGGTAGTGTCTGTTCTTTCAATGTTTTTACTCTAATATTACTAGCACTGGATGCAGGCAGAATTGTATTGCTCTGAGCTGCATACTTGGAAGCAGATGCAGCAAAAGGGAGCTGGCTCACCCCACTTCATGTCTCTTCTTTATCAGCCCTTTCCCTTTTAATTTTTCTCAGCCATCCACTTGATGACTTACTGGTCAGTCACCAGCCAGCTCTCTCCCACTTCAGTGCTCTTTCCTGCATCTTAGGTTCCACTCCATAAGCTCATAAAATTGTTGATGGAGAGCAGGCTATGATTCGTGGAGTGGATGTTAAGGGTATATATTTTAAAGTACTAATGAGGGGATATTCTTTTAGCTACAATACCTGCCTGTGATTTTCTTTTTTGTAATAAATTGTATTTTTTTTATTATATCTCTTTTTAATAAAGGTAATTGTAAATATATTCAAACTCTGCAAACTGAGGTTGAACCGTTAATCCTACTTGCTGCAAAGAGCTGGCTGGTTCCTTTTGTTATTTTAGACAAGTTCTTTTGCTCAGAGCAACCTGTGACAGCCTATAATTTCTGTCAGCTCTTTTTCTCTTGTTGTTATTTGTGTGTTTTCACAGGAGGAAGCTTACCAAGCAATGTTTTATACACTAACCATTATTCTTTCCCTTTCTTCAGACAGATGGAATTGAACTCCTGTGAAAATGGCTCTGTAAAAACAGAAATTAACCATCAAGAGCAATCCCTTTTTAAAAGTCTGGAATGTTTAAACCTGGAAACAAATGAGGGGGGCAGTGATGTTTCTGTTGAAGATCACATAGCAGATGATTTGGCAGGTAAATGCACTGTCTTTTATCCAGAATCATTACTCTTTAAGTGTAAACGGAGGGAGGTGTAGGCTGCCTGTGAGAGTGCTGATACTTTGCTTCCCAGGAGAGGGAATGTCAGTATATTTTAGTCTGATATCTGCCTGTTGTCAAGTCTTCCCAGCATAACTCCTGCCCTTGTTGATATCTAACTTGGGACTGAATGGGGAAGGAAGTTTAAAATTCTTTTTTGGACAAGTGGAGGCTCCTCTAGATGCTGATTGACATGCATAACAATACAGCCTGGCAGAGCTTTGGCTCGTCTTGCACTGTGGACAGACACGTTATTCCCAGAGGTCCTCCGCTGGGAATGCCGGCACCTCTGCTAGTATGTAGGGCTGCACTGTCAGAAGGGGACCATTGAATCTTTGTGTGTCTGTCTTGGAGGGGTTGACCTTGTAGTCGCTCTTGATTGCTCTAACGAATCTTTATGGAAAATTAACACTTTTTCTGCAACTAAGAGTATGCTAGAAAGCACCTTATTTCTTCCATTACCTTAGCAATAGCATGAAACTTAGATTTGTGCATGACTTCAGTAAAACACTGTTGAACTAATTCGGTATAAAATTCCATCCAGCATAGCTATATTGTTAAGGGCTGCTGAACTTAATTTGGGTAAGTCTATACAAGTAACTTATAATTTCTGCTCGTCCTGTTGAAGGGACTGTATTGTTCTCGAACAGTAGCTTTCTATGCCTGGCCATTATTCCAAAACATACATATGCAGTCAGTGAATCAGCTGAAGTTTTTAAGCCCAAGTTAATGAACATGGTGATTTTGCTCTTACATGGGTTCTCTTTGGAATTTTTCCCATTTCTGTAACTGGTGTTGTGTAGTGTGGTAAGTCCCAACATGCATGTGTTGCCATTTAGCGTAATACCTCAAGAATACAGTGCTAGAGCAAGGACATCAAACTAGTGCAAGTCACTTTGTCGGTATCATTTAGCTACTGAGGTTGTTCCTGTGCAAAAAAGAGAAAAGCCTACCCCCTTTTGGGTATGCACATCTGAGTTGCAGAGTTTTGCTGGCAATACAGGATGGGCTGACCCAGCCAGCCTGGGGCTCTGTCTCGCTGATGGCTGTATTTGGGTGCTCCCTGTGAGCCCAGGAGCTCTGCCCTGTCTCAGATACTCTTCCCTCCCTCCCCTCTATTAAGAACAGTCAATCTTTAAAAACACTCAAGCATTTAAGTCCCATAAGAAATTTCTGTTTGTCATTTAGTGCTTACAGTGTTTGAGTTTGAAGTTTCAGAGGACCCCAGGCTTTATGCATGGCACTCCTGTGGAGTCACTGTGGACTCAGGCTGTTTCTCTACTCACCATCCCATGTGTCTTGGTGAAGGATAGATCAGTGACATCCCTCAAACTCTAGTTCCTTAGCAGAGTCACTTTGCTTGTGAGCAAGGCATGGTCAGTGATCGCTGAGGCCATTTTTTTCTGCCCAGAGGAGCACAGCTAAAGTCTTGTTGCCGGGTGTGAGTGATTCTTTTTTCCCCCAGCACCAGGCTTATTTAGTGGTTCTGGAAGTAATAGGGAAAGCTGCAAGATTGTTTTCAGGCTTTGCTCAGAGGAAGATAGTTCCTTGCAGTTGGATCCCTTCATCCAGAAGCTCAGTTCCACTTCAGGTCTATAAATCCTCACTGGCCTTTGAAACTATTCCTTTCCTGGAGAGACATGTTCCCTGAGAAATTTTGGATGTTAGTCTGACAGTGTGGCAGCAAGACGTGTTGTGGCCATGGCCTGTGCGCTGCAGGTGCTGTGAATATATCACTTTTGCTTCGTGACTTGTTCTCTGCTCTTCTCCATGAGGTCAGAAGGTCTTACCATGCATGGGATGTGACCTTTCTTTGGGTGTCTAAGACTTTGTCTTCCTTCGGAGGTGTTCGTGTAGTGCTGTTTATTTGAAACAAATGCGCTTGACCCCAAAGAAGAAATAAAACAGACCACAGCGGGGAAGAGGCAACTGGATCTTTTTCTGGGAAACTTTAAAGATATTCATACAAATCGGGGAGAATGTAGCAGCCTTTGATATCATAGCAGTAGCCGTCTAAGTAGCCAGTTTACTTACTTATCAGAAGGAGCAAACAAGTCACTATTATTCTTTTGCTTTTGAAAATGAACTGCGCTCTTTTATCAGCACTGGGGAAGTTACAGCATGTGAGAAGTAATCTTTCTTTGAAGGAGATGAGTCTACTCCCTGTTGCACCCCATCACTTCTTCAACGCTCTTCACTCATACTGCTGTCCTTGCTGAGGATGTGTGGGCTCACCTGCATTGGAGCCTGGTGCTTCGTCTGTTTGATTAGAATAAATGGGGAGGGGACTGGTTGAAATGTGGTCTGAGCACCTGACAGCAGGGGAACTGTGGTGAGAGTCATGGTGCTGGCAGGGAAAGCTGTTAAACTTGTATGATCCAGATATCCAAGTGCCTTCATTCAAATAGGACGTGTCTTAAGGAACAGGAGTAACAATATGGGTCTGTGGCTGTTTTCTTTTTCTAGTTTTGTTTTTCTTCTGTTTCCTATAAATGTAAGGCATTAAAGAAGATGGAGAGAACAAGCTGCAAGCTGTAGAAAGCTTTGGTGCCCACAAGCTGCTGCAGTCGGAAACAAATTCTTTAAGTGGATTGACTCTGTGTGAGGAAGACAGAAATGAAAATGATTCTCCTACCTTCTTCAGTGTCATGAGCAATAGGTAGTATATGTTGCAGGTGTAAATTACAAGGATTATTGAAACTTTAAGCCCTTAATTGACTCATTTTTAAGTCTGTTCTGTCTGTGAAGAGTTGTATTTGCTGAGATTGTTTAACAAGATTGCATACAGCACAGTAATTGGAGAAGATATCCTTTGTAGAATTGGCTGTACAGAGTAGAGTGGGAGGTTTTTTCCTTGGTTATAATTACAGGCCTTGCTTGCACGCCACCAAATGTGTATTTTCTGCAGTCATTTACTTTAACCTAGTGAAACAAAACCCATATTGGTGGTTCCATGTCTATACATTTCACCTCTATGCAAGTGAAGTGGGCATGAAATGTAATTTTGTCTTCAGAAGTTTCACAAAAGGACTTGTTAAGGTGACAATCTTTTCTGCTTGTCCTGGACACCAGGTTCAGTGATATTGAACTTCGGGAGGAGGAGGGCATACCAACAGAAGAGTTTCTGGAGTCATGTTATGCAATTGTGCCCGTTCTGGGTAAGCAGCTCTTTCTTTTCATGCCAGGGGTGCATCTAACTCCTTTTGACTGCTGCTAGCTGCGAGAAAAGGTGGAGCGGTTGGTTTGGAGAATTTGTTTCTTTGCTAAAGTGATGTAGAAATAGTTCCTATCAGCAGAATCAATTTGACTGGTACCAGAAGATGTTTCTTACTCTTTTGCTTTGTAGAGGATCCACTCTTGTTTAGATGGGACCCAGGTATGAGCTGTCTGGAAATCTGTGGGTATATCTGGAACAGCAGTTTCCTGCCCTCAAAAGAACAGCGTGAAATGCCTTGACTGTCTAATACTGCTGACAGCACACTATCAGCTGTACTAGCTATTGCTGCTGTTTGATTTTTCCAAAGACTTCTACCTCCAGCTAGTGAAGTCCCCCACCTGCTTGGCCCCTGAATCTAACAGTATATGTGGGGACCCTGTAAGCATGCACCCTTTTGAAGACTTCCAAATTGTATGTTGGTGTATTGTAACACTTGGACCAACTGGGGTGGGTTGGTTCTACACCAAAAACAGACTTTGGTTTACGTCATTCATTTAGAAGAATTGTTAAGAGAGCAAATTAAATTAATTGTTACTAATACATGAGGACTGGAAAAAGACACAATTTTAAAATATGGCTGCCTTTTTTTTTTTTTCCCCCCTAGACAAACTGGGACCAACTGTTTTTGCTCCTGTTAAAATGGATTTTGTAGGTAACATCAAGGTAACAGCTTATTTCTAACACTGATTTTTTTTTTTTTAAACAAAATATCTATTTTAGGTACTAAAGCTCAAGAATCTTTATTGTAGAAGTCAATACTGGAAGGCTATTTAATATTTGATAATGTTACCATCTGTCAGATCAGAATGCTGAAATGCCCCTAATTCTGTTCTTACAGTACATGCTGTGTTTAATAAATCCAGCTGTTGTGCACAAACTTATAAAATATGTGATTGACTGCCAAGTAAAACATCTGTTACACCTAATGAATATGACTTTGATTCTGAGCTGAATTGGTTATAAGTCATGATGCGATGGTAACAATATTGACTTTAGACTGTAAAACAAACCAGGGGAAAAAACCCCTTTCCTCAAACAAGTAGGAGCAAATTAGTGCGTTAAGAAGGAGCTTCACAGCAGGTCGGGGCAGACCCTGCAGCTTTGGTTCTCGTTCTAACAGTCCTTCCAACTTCAAGTCTGAAAAGGTTTGAAGTGCTACTTATGAGACAAAATGTATTCATAGTGAGACTTTTCATAGCTTTTCTTTCAAGGAAAAAAAAGAAAAGCAAAATATATCTCCTGAGTGTATAAGGAACATTGCATACATTCAGATTTGTTTGGTGCAAAGTAAGGCAGATATGCACTTATCTTGCTGAAGATAGCCACTGAAAGACTGAAAATAGCAAGGAGGAAGAATGCTATTTAAAAGAAAAAAAATTAATATTTATTGGCAAGTGGTAGGCAGCTGCTCCTTTAATGTAGAAGATGACTCTGTTCAACTGCCTCATATATTTTCTCTTTTATTTTTGTGAGGAGGTGTGTGTAACAAACTTTGGAATAAATTAAAAAGCTTAAGCATGCCGATGACTGCTAAGTGTAATTGAGAATTTGAAGCTTAGCAGTTGTCAGAAGATAATCTTGTTGTACTTGAAGCTTGGGGCAAATGGGACTTTGCTTGGAGAGCAGATTGAGTTAACTCCTTTCCACTGGTGTGGAAGATGCCATGTGAACCTAAAGCATTTTGTCGGACAGAAATGGTAGGTTCCACGTAAATCTTTGACTGAGATGCTTTTTTTTGGTTGTGTTAGCCAGATGGCTAGCCAGATGTGTCTGGGGTTGTGCCCTGGGAAGGTGTGCCCAGTGTGGCAGGCCAGCTGTGCCCGTGGGAATTGTGTGATGTGGTTGGGGATCTGTGGAATCCCTTTGCAGGGAAGAGTCCTGGTAAATAGGTGGTGTTTATAGGACAGGCTACTGTTTGGTCTTAAAAGCCTAAAGCTTTGCCTCTTGTTTTTTCTCCAGAAAATAAACCAGAAATTTATAACCAACAAAGAAGAGTTTGATACCCTTCAGAAGATAGTGCTCCATGAAGTGAATGCCGGCGTAGCACAAGTTAGAAACTCTGCTACGGAGGCTCTCCTGTGGCTGAAAAGGTAACAGCCTCGTATCTACTTACACTATGAACTGCTAAGGTGGAATGAGGGGCCTTTCACCAGTGCAAGCTTATGTACATGGAGCAAACCGGTTACTTTCCACAGGCTCCACCAATCCAAACTGGCTAGGTTCAAGATTAATGTGTTGTCTGTGGTTATATCACTGCAACGTTGCCAAAAGGCCTGAAAAAACAATCGCAGGCAACCTTTTTTCCCATAAAAGTGAAGTTACAGTGAATGATGGATTCTGCTGCTAGGAGAGAGGCTGGAGGAGGTGGCTGCATTTTTTTTTATTCAGATTGAAAATGGCACCTTAATTCTGAGTTTTATTGCACATCTGAGTTGTATTGCAACTTTGGGGGCTTTGTTATACTTTGGGTTACTTTGTTATAAACATGTTTTCTTTTTATTTTGTCGATTCACCCTGACAGAGGCTTAAAGTTCTTGAAAGGGTTTTTGACGGAAGTGAAGAATGGAGAAAAGAATATCCAAACAGCTCTAAGTAAGTGCCAGTTGCTTTATTCTTTGTGTGCTTCTGAATTTGCATACTTGGCTATTTTCCTCCTTGTTTAGAACCTGTGTTTTCTTCCGTGACTAATGATGCAAGTAGTCTCCAAGACAACTTTTTTTAAAATCGCAGTTTTTGAAAATGGCTGTCTTCAGGCAGATTACTAGATAACTGGTCAATATTGATTTAACAGCAGATAAAGATTCCTTTAATTGGCATATTTTTGGCAGGGGAGACAGTCATATCTTAGGGAAAAAAAGTGCTTTGTCTCATTCCATTTTCTCTACTGGTTTGCAGCGAGAGCGCTCCCAAATTTGTAGTTGCTCTTGTGTTATTTTTTTAGTTCCATGTGAGATTGGCCATCACTCTTTGAAATCACCTCTTTGCCAGTATGGCTGTGAATTGCCTGTATCAGTTAGAAGGGAGTTTGTAACAGAAAAGAAGGAATTTTTTCCAAGTACACAATTTCTGAAACTTACCTAGTCAGGCTAGTACCCACAGCAAATATAAAACAAAGTACAAACCCCTCTTAAACTTGACTTGGTTATTCCTGAGTAAGACCCTCTCTATATGCATGCAGTCTAATGTTACGATAATCCTTTAAAACAGCTTTAAAACGGCTTTTTTTAAAGCTTGCTTTTTTAAGCCTCTTTTAAACAGCTAAGCAGTCATCCTATAGGATTAGTAAAATGAAGTACTACACTGAAGTATGTAAGCAGCTCTTGGAAGTGGGACTGTAAATACACTGCTACCAGATGTGGATGTTAAACACCACAGAAAGTCAAGGCACTTATTTGACCTTCTGAGTCTGAAGGCTTCAGCACTGAATTACTTCTTGAATTGCTCTGTGTCCGGAGCAGAGCCATGCTGCTGGTTTTCTTCACACTTCTTCCTTCCCTTTCTCCCCCTGAAAAGCTCTTCCATATCTGTTATCACCAGTGCAGCTTTGGTTTACTGTTACAGTTTCTTATTTAGGAGTTACTGTGCTATCTGAATCTCAAGGAAAGATGGAGTATATATTCTCTTTCTACAATCTCAAATATCAAGCTAATGAAATGAAAATAAAAAATGGAATATCCAACAGTTCTTTTGATCTTCTGAGGAACAAACAGCTTTCTAAAGGGATTTGTCTTTACCTGGGTTTTAAATCTAAGCAAACTTCTCAACTTCTGGTGTTTTTAATGTCCCCTATATTTGCTGATAAGGCAGAGAATAGACTTGTCAGTCCTGTTTGCTACACAATACTCTTTTTCTCCTTATTTCATTGCACTTACGACTGTATGCGTTTCTCATAGATTCTCACTCCTACTGTAAAGATAGAAAAGCTGCATTCCCCTGTCGTTAGACTGATAGATGAGGAGTACTTCATATTACAGCAAAACTTGTGGCTGTGTTTTACTGACTTTCTACACTCTTCCAATAATAACTGTCTGCAGTCTTTTGAGAAAATATCCTAAAGCAGCAAAATATAAGAGGTTCTCTTTCTTCAAGGTGAACAGCTTGGGGAAAGTATAATACAGTGTCAGATACTTAAAAATTCAACTGAAGGACAAGGATGTGAAATGACGACAGTGACAAACTACAACTGGGGAAATATAGCTCAAAGTGTTTGGTTTGGTATATAGAAAGCTTTGTTTATGAAAGTGGAGCTGTCTAGGAACATAACAAGTTGTCAGGGGCACTCACAATAGAGATCCTGAGGATTATTTTAATAAAGGCCCGGTGCTTTTTGTTCCAATGACTCTTGAAACTTGACCCTCGGCTGTAAAGAGAAAGTTCTTGGTGAATGCCTGAACTAACCACCTCAGTTGAGGCTGGTTAACCATCAGGTTGCAGGATTGTTTCACCCCGTATATTATTTTCTCAGACTTGCACTGAACTGAGAACTAGATAGTAGAAGAAGTGTTAGTTCTGAAGCACAGCTAGCCAAATAAAAATTACATCTGCCTTTCTGTCTGTTAGAACACTTACTTGCCATGGATGAGTTGAAGGAGATTTGACAGCAGAGCTGAGACCCCAATGCAGAAATCCCAAATCTGTCATCTCCTTTCAGTCGTAACTTTGGTGCTTAGAAACAGCCATTATTTGCATCCAGTGGCAAGAATATATCCTTAAATAGTTGTTTCTAAGCTCTAAGTTCTCTTCGTGTTACAAACTTAAAACTACCATACATCTATTTCTTAATTGATTTTTTTTTTCCCCCCTTCTTCCTTTAAGACAATGCTTATGGAAAGACATTACGGCAGCACCATGGTTGGGTTGTCCGCGGGGTCTTTGCGGTAAGTATTTATCTTGGTTGCTGACAGAGCTGGGGGTCTTGTTAATGTGACCTTATGTTGTGTATAATTAATAAACCATGTTAAAATTGTAAGCATGAAAATGAATAGATTCCCTTGTCAGACCTTATTTTCCGTGTGAGGATTGTGGCTATCACTATGTTCAGTGGTGGAACCTGCTTTCTGGAGCCAAAACAGATGGATCACGCTTGCATGCACATTTTTTTCATTATGTGTTTTTCAGCACAGTCTTGCAGGACTATTAAATGAAGAAATGAGGGTCTCGGGTTGCTTTTTTGAGGATTGATCTGTCTTTGGATGTGAGCATTCAAGAAGGGTTAGTGCAGAATGTGTCAGGGAATTGAAGTAGAATATATTGGCTAGAGGAAATTGTTTCTTTTTGTCCAGTCTGGCAGCTCCCCCTCGTGTCTGTCACTGGAAATTATCACTAAAATTAGAAAACAAAAAAGAGGAGCCTCATCCAGGCAATTGTGACAGAAACTTTGACTGGGAGAAACAGAAATGTTGGGGAAGGCTTTATAAAGAGTGTTTTGAGAACGGGACTTAAATGTTGAAGTGGGTGACACTGGGTTGGGAGCTTCCCTAACAAACTGTACTTTATCTGGGGTTCGTACTTAATTCACTTCCTAAAAATCAGACCTCTCTGAAGATGTCTTAAACTGGGGATCTACATAGGGATAATAATTAAAAAAATATTTTATATATATACATTAGCCTCCCTGTCAGTTAAAAATCTTAACATATGCACGTACACATAAATACATTAAAGCTATGCAATCTAAGTGCAAAGAGGGATGTCTCAGAAGTTTTTCGTGGCTTTAGTTTGGTTTCTTTTCCTGTTCTGTTTTGCAAATCTAAAAGCTTTGGTTCCTCTCCCAGTTAGCTTTAAGGGCAGCTCCAACGTACGAAGACTTTGTGGCAGCTCTGTCTGTAGAGGAGTGTGATCCTCAGGAAGAAACGTTTTACAAAGGAATGCAGAGGGACCTCAACATTTACTTACCAGCCATGGAAAAGCAGCTAAATATCTTGGACACTCTCTATGAAGTACATGGTTTGGAGTCAGATGAGGTGGTATGACTACAGCAAGACCATGTCTTAAAACTTCAGGGACTGTGTCTGTTAACAAAGATTTTCTTTCGTTTCTTTTTTTTAGACATCGTTTCTGTTCATTGTATCTTTTCAGGTGGGAAGGGTGTTGTGAGTGTTTTTGGGGAAGGGTATGTATGATTTTTATTCTTTTTTGTTAACACTTGTTTTGTGTTTAAATGCAGAGGTACTGTTTCTCTTTGGGTCATAACTATGTCCGTGATGAATGTTTTTGACTGTTTCTCTCCTGCCTGTGCACTCCCTCTTCTCTTCACCTCGTAAAAGTAACAGAGCAGAATTTGGCCTTTGCTCCCGTACCTCAGGAGAGAGCCACGCGTGCAGCGGAGCGGTCGGGATGTCAAGATGGAGCCCAGGCAGGTGCTGCTGGCTCTGGCTCTCCCATGGCCTGTGCCCACTCCCTGCGACAGTGTAGGAGGACAGAGGTAGGGAGAGTTACTGTTACTCCGGTAACAGAAGAGAAGGTCAGTTAAATGCCACCTTATAAGGTACGTGGTGCGTTTGTCCCTTAATTTGGGTTGAAGCTTTTTAATGTAGCACCTCCCCAAATATTACAGAGATCTTCATCACAAGCATATGTGGTTGGTGGTCTGAGCTTCCCCAGGAACCAGCCTTTGCAACTGTGGGTCGTGTTCCCTGACCAGCTCCCAGTATGTGCCATGTTCTCCCTGTCAGCTCCTGCCAGTGGGTCACAAGAAATTTGCTGGCACAGATGGGCAGAGCCCAGCTAATTGCAACAGTGCTTTACACAAGCAATTGAAGATCATGTCCATCATCCTGGTTCATTAAGGTTTTGGTGGATTTTTCTATTTTGGGTTTAGGGTTTTCTTAAATTCACACAAAAACATAATACTTGCTTTTAAATTGAATACAGCTAGCAGTTTAAAAAGCAGATTTTATTAAAATCCTTCCTAGGCTGCCATTATGGGCAGAGGCTTCATGAAAGTGGAGTAAAGCATAGGAGAAGTTAGAATTTGTCATGGAGCCACTACCCATTTGGCCAATTACAAACCTGAAAATCTGAAATGATGTAGAAGTGACTGGAAATTAAGAAAGTAAGATTTGCCCTTTTTCCCGTTTTGCCGATACAGATAAAAATGTGCTCCTTAACACTGCTGCTATTAAAAAATAATAAAGAAGTCCTTTTAGCTAGTGATACAGTTAAGGACAAAATTCCTAGCTGTCTTGATGTCTAGAAGGCTGTCTGTGAATTACTGACTGCCCATTCAAGGCATAAATGGGTCTCTCAGTGGTGACCTAGGGCTTCAGATGGCTTTGTGCAAAGAGTTGAGTTGTGTGCAGGAGGAGAGAAGACTGTGCTAATGAGGTACTTAGAATTAGTAAATCTTCATAAATACAGGAGAAGTTTCAGTGTCACCATACTCACAGGCGAAGTACTGGCTTTTGCTAAGCTAAAAACCATGTTGTCAGTAAAATGAATGTACTGCAGGCCTGCTGCCCGGCATCGCTCTGTGACGGGAGCCTCTCTGCACACCATATACTTGATCCTTTCTAAAGAGCCTAGCATTGCGAGCTTTAAGAAAAGCATATGATGCTTGAAGAAAAGACCAAACATCACACAGTGTATAAAGCAAGATACCAGAACTGTAATTAGGCATTTAAACAGTGTGTCTTGTTCCTGTCATCTTCTCTGAGTTGTGCCTATCTGTAGTTCCTACATCCTTCCAAAAGGCATCAGTAGGATGTGGGCGTTTTAGGTTTTTGTTTTTTCTTAAATTAAGTAGTATATATTTATGCCTGAGTACAAAGTCAAAACTTTTGACCAAAGCTCCATTCAATTATTTCACTACTCACAGTGCTAAAAATGAAGCAAAGAGCCTTTGGGATTCAGCTGTCTGCTTCTTCTAAGCATAAATGCAAAGAAACCACCCCTGCAGCAGACCAACCAACCCTCCACCCTGTGTGGCTTCCTCAGGGTTTTTGGCTATTATGTGGGAAACTTTGCTGTAATAGTTCTTAGCTGAATGCTCTGGGGAGGTAATGGAGACCACATTTCCACAAAATATCAGCTGGAGTATGGAGAGAGCAGGAAGAGGTCCCTTTTCTCTAGAAATTAACTTGTGAGATCATGATGAAAATTGGCTTCCCTTTTTGCTCTAAGCTTTTCCAATAGCAAGAAACAGTATTCAGCACTTAAAGTCTTGGAGATATTTTTGGGTTTTCTGTTTGTTTTGTTTTGTTTTTTAACTAGCGGGAGAACCACTGGTTTGTTAGTAGTGCATCAGACTCAACGTTTGATGCAAGAAATAAGGAGGCTTTATTTTGTAAGCAGAGAACTTAACAGCTTCATTGGGCCATTGGCTTCAGCAATTACTAACTTCTACCGTTCCTTCTTCTAACAAATAGACAGTGGTACACATTGCATATCCTCTAATCAGCGTGGCATCCTGCCTCAGAGCAGGCTTTCTTGTCTTGCTCTTCTCTGTAAAGTTGGTATTTCTGAGAATGTTCTTAGGAGACCATGGCTTCAGGAGACCCCTGTGTGCTTGTTGTTAAATAGGGGACTTGTAGAGAAGGAATTGAGCAAGGTCTCCTCGCCTTCAAAACTTGTACTTCGCCATGCGCTGCTCTTGCAGGGCATTGAGCATTTCTAAGACTAACAAATGATGTCTTTCCAGTCTTTTCCACCACTGAGAAAGAAACCCATGCAGCATGTTGCAGAGCCGAACTCCAAGTTACACCTCTAAGGATGCAATGGACCAGATGACCAAGTGGAAGCAAATACACTGCTAGACAATTCACTTCTTTCTTTTCACAGCTTGTGATGTCAGTTTGGCAAGCAGAGAGGATTGCTTTTGATTTTAATAATTGTCGAGCAAGCAACTAAGTTTTGGCCTTCAAATTTAGAATTGGAGACAAGGTCGGTGTTTTCTATTTGATTTGTTCGGTTCGTTGATTGGTTAGGGTTGTTTCGGTTTTTTTAATGGCTGACATTTATGAACAACTGACCTGCATACTGACAGAGGTCCATATGACTCTCAGATAACAGCACCCTTGCTCTGTATACTTTACATGAACTGCTTTGGTTTCTTAAACTGCACTAGTCTGAAGTTTTGCGTCCCTTTCCTTTAGAAACGCTTTCGGCTGTTTCCTTCGATGTCTAACAGTTGCATATTCTCAGGGATTTTACTTAGCCATGGCAAAATACGAGTAATCACAGCCTTACCCTAGGGCAGTAAGGCTGCTTTTTGTGAAATTAGTATAGCTGAGCGTAGAACTCTGATACAGCATATGACACTGACAGTGTCTATCCAGTGCGCATCCTTGCTGAGACATGGTAAATCCCAAAGCAATCTTATAGAAGTGCTATCTAGTACTAAACAATGGCAGTCAGCATATTTGAATAGAGATCATACACACATCTTTGTAATACAGTGCCGTTGGCGTTAGAGCAGAGCTCTCAAATAATTTCAGTCAAGTTCTGCTTAGCAGTGGGAGGCTTTTATTTATTTTATTTATTTTTTTGTTACTTTTTTAAAACAAACTATGTTCTGGAGCCCCCTCTGCTATTTTAAGACACCATACTCAGTTGCATATTGAAGTTCTGTGACATTACAGTTGTAGAATATGAACTGGATACTCAAGTGCTTTAGTGTAAACTTAAGGAGTCATTGAAACATCCCATCTTGACACTGTTGTATATGGGTCTCCCTTTAACAGATGCACTTAAAGTTAAGGGCCATATACCTTCACTTACAAGCTTTTTGTAAAGCATCGTCAGGCTTTAGGTTACAGCTGTTTGCTTTAAAATTGTTTCATGGTTTGAAAAGTGTCACTTGGTTGGCTTCACGTATAAAAAGTATGCCCAAAATGTGCTCCAGTTGTTTGCAGCATGCAGGCAAAGGGGTGTGGACCATTCTAGAAAACAGTGTTACGTATGTCCATATGCTGGACCTTCTAACCATTTCTTTACATTATCAATTCAGCTTTTGTGAAAAGCTTTAGGGAACCCTAAAATGCCTTTTAGATACCAGAAAAGATCATTAGCACGTTCCTATCTGGCTGTCTTCCCCTCTTCCCCCACCTGGTGACCACCCCTTCCTTCCCTTCCATTCCTCAACTTCTTTGCTGCCAGAGTTGTTGCTGTCAAGTTGAAGTATCTCTCCATAAGAGTGCAAAGCAGGAAGTTTTGTAAATGATAAAAATGTAAACTTGGAAAATCAGACCTGAATTATTTGGCAGGGAACAAAACCTACAGTCAGATGGAGAATGTGCTGCTTTTCTCCGAAGTTTCTCCCTGGTTTGACATATTTTGCCAGGAAAACCACACCACCTTGAACTTTTAATTTCACCAATGAAATTTAAATTGGGACACTTCAGACTTGGCAGTTCTACCTCTTACGAGTGAAAGCACAGGGATTTTTTTTTTAATTGACTTATTTCTGTTCTCTTGCCTGCATAGAACAGATAACAAAACAAAAAGAGAAGGGGGGCAAGAATAACTGAATTTATGCCTCTCTGCTAACCTCTGTAGCCCCTTGGTGAACAAACCCTGCAAGCTACTGCATGCTCCAAGCAATATAAAATCACCCTTGTGCAGAAGGGTTATCATAGCACACTTACTGGCTCTGAGCAAGCCCAGACAGTAGCTGATCCTGCTCACAGTTCACTTGAGGATTTAAGCACTTGCTTTAAAGTTAGAACATAGGCATATGCTTCACTTAAACACACGCTCACTCTCCCACTGGCATGCACTTCTTCAAAATGTGGCCTTTGGCTATCACTTTTAATATCCCTTTCTTGGTATATTATTTCTCCCCCCAAAAGACTCCAGATGTGCTAAAGGGGTATTTTTAATATATGAAACTTCCTTGTTTTCATATCCTGATTTTTGCTTAACACTAAGTTTGTTTATTTTATTTTGTATTGCAGCATTCAGGGGGTCCAAAACTTATATTTTAATTCCTTTATTTAAAGCCATCTTGAAAGTTCGAGATTTATGTCTACTTGAAACTAAACAAGAAAATTGCATTCCAGAATATGGTGACTAAACTGAAAACCAAAGCAGCTTGCTTTTGTGCTTTCCTTTCCTATTTTCTTTCTTTTTTTCAAGCCAATTTTGAGCATACTTTTTATCAATGTCAAGCTGAGCTTACTGCAAGCCTTACTTGTACATACTAAAATATATTACATACATACTGAAATACATTTAAAGATGAAGAGAAGGTATATTGCCTCAAACTTTAAATTTACTTAATTCTAAGGGCTTGTTCATGCCCCCAAAATCACCTCTTCCAGTGTAACCATTCACAAATTGTGCTGTCATAAGCAGTTCAGTCTTGAAATACTTTGGAGTTTCCAGTCTGCATCATCTCTCAAATCATACAGCATCTGTCTCTTTTCTTTTGGAGCATTGTTAAGACCTTTGTCAGACTTTTATATTATTTCATTATAATAAACTTATTTTAAATAAGCATGTTTTAAAATCTCGCTTTCTCCTTGCATGCATTTTGTTTCTTTTATTACAATAGAGGGCCTAAAGTGCTCTTCAGGACTGCATCTGTTCTAGGTACTGTGTGAACAGTCGAAAACAGTATGTTTCTGGTTCATAGAAACTACCTGTATGTATCTTTGTACGAAGAATGTTAACACACATGGAGCCTGTTTTGATTACGAGAATAAAAGCTCTGTCTGGCATATGGTTGTGGGTCCTTGGCCAGTGTAAATACACGAAGGCTGTAGTTACAAAAGCCAGCCTGTCAGTGTGAGAGGAATTTGTGTTTTAAGACTGCATGTATTATTATGTCCTTCTTTTGCCTGGATTTGAATGTCTTCTCTAGAAGTTTCTGAAGTTTTTGAAATCCCTCTGTGGTCATCTTGAGATGCAGATCAAGACTAGTGGTCCTTACTTAACGTGGGTGTAATATCTCCCTTCCCCCCCCCTTTTCTTTCTCTCTCTCTGTGTAAACACAGAGTGGACGTGCGAGCGGACCTATGATACCCAGTCATCTCTAGCAAGGGCAAGTCCCTCTGTTAAACGGCAACATGTGGCGGAGGCATTTTCTCAGCTGGGGAAGAGCAGATGAGACCGAGCCCCTGCCTGTGCCTGACCAGCCCCGTGGCAGAGGGGAGGATGCATGTATCCTGTTGCAGCAACAGCAGCCCTGCTCAGCTAGAACTGGCTGTCTCCTGTGGGATACAGGAGTCTCTGAACCCTTCTAGTTGCTGCGGGCCCCAGAGCATCAGCTCTGCAAAGGCTTAGAGCTGCATTTGCTTCAGCGAGGGCTGAGCTGTAGCAGGAGCCCCAAACTCAGTATCCCTCTGTCTCACCTGCTGGGGCTGAGCTAGTGGGTAGCTGGCAACTAAGTGAGGGATGAATAGTTTAGAAGGCCTCCTGGGGCACTCCTGGGGCAGAGATCACATCCCTTTTTCACCACCCCAGGGCTTTATCCATCTCTCCTTCCTAAGGAAATCAGCAGGTTATCAGTCATGAGACCCTGGCAGTTCCAGCTTTGTGTGGTGCAGCTAAATAACAACGGTTGTGTCACTAACGTTTTCAGAGGTCCCTCTAAGACACTGTCTTGGCCCTGTTCCGTGGGCATGTGGAAATAACTTGGCACGTGGGTGAGCCTGGGTGCCACTGGCATGAGCTGTCATTGCAGCCATGGCGCAGATTGCTTTGGTGGCTCCCCTGAAGTGTCAGCTGCGCCACAACGAACCAGTGAGCCCAGTTTACTGTGTTACCTGGCAGCTCCTCCAAAGCCATGCTGTTACGTGTCGCAGTTGGATGGGGCTGCTGCTGGGGCAGAGCCCTGTCCTATGCAGGGTCGGCACTTCTGGTGTTGGTATCTGTACTGTGTTATGTTGTACTAGACAGCCATAGCTCTTCACACCGAAACAAAGAGGACGTACACAGAGACAGACGTTAAAAGGAAAAGCAGAACGTGGTGGTTGTGGTGAGGAGGTCTGCGGCCCTGTGCGCAGGGACTGTCTGCCAGCGTCAGTCATTGGAGTCACCTCCGTAACATGCACTGCTCTCCTAAATAGCCAAACACAAGTCAGCAGCACTGCACAGAAGTACGCTAATAGAAACCCTATGCACAAAAGGAATCTCCCAGGCAAGTATCTCCTCACCACAGCTTCCACTGGTTAAAAAAAGCAAATCTGTTGCCTTTACAGGATCCCAGATGGACTGCAGAAAGAGCCCTAGCTAAAGCTTTGACAGAGTTTGTGATGTTTGTTAGTAAAGGTCATAGACTGCCATAGTGGCTGCTAAATTCCTGTCCCCACCCCTGTCCCTACAGGAATCTAGATCCATAGTTCGAAGTAAAAAACGGTGTGCTGAACGTGTAGGGTTCATAGGAACGCACAGGTGCTGCTGTTAAAATGGGAAGTTCAAAGAGGACACATTAAAGATTCAGCAACAACCAAAATTTTTTTTTTTTTAGGGTTCTCCTATATGGAAAAAGACTATTTTCTGAATTTAAGGGGGAAAGGCAATGCAAGCTCACAGCACCAAAGTTTTGACCAATGCAACCAGGCAGAGCAAAACCTTTACCAGGTTGCTTGCTTTTCAGTCCAGCTGGAAACCCTGCCATGCTGGGGGCAGTGTGGGGCTGGCGTGCAGTTTTACTGCCCTATGGGAAATACAAAGCTATTGAAATGCAGAATATGGGACCATAATTTGGTGCTACAGCCTGGACGGAGCACAGGTTTTGAACACTAGTTTAATGGGTTTGCACAAAGCTGTTCCCCGAATCGGAGCCATGAGGAGAAAAGTTTTCTTTATCATTTGGGGACTGGTAGAGTAATTGTGAAGCACAAGTACTACGACTGAGAAAAGGAAGTGCAGGAGATGCTGCAGTATGCCAAACACTTCCAGATATTGGTGCAACCAAGCTAAGTGTCTGTCTGTCCATCTGGAAGATTTCATCCAAGATGTTACCATGTATTTTTTCCTAATATTTCAATATATTAACCCAAATATATTTCTTAATTAACAGATATTTATTCCTCTCCTTCTGTGTCTAACACAGATTTTAGATTTGTTTCTTGTGTATCATTAAAAAAACACATCAGCCTTAGAAAGCTTCCAGCTTCCCTTCCCTGCCCCGTGAGGGGATGGTTCCCAGAGCAGCTGCAGTGTTGGCAGTGCAGGCTCAACCCCCGACTTTGGGGATTAGGGAAAAAGGCTTTTCCAAGTTTTGTTGCGTTCTTGCATTCCCGTAACCTTCACCTTTTACCAGCCTGTATTACTTTGCTGGTGTTCCAGCTTGCAAGGTCTGGTAAAATTTCTCCAGGGTCTTCCGCTGTTTACCCACACACAGCTTTAGCAAGGCGTCACCATTAGTGCAGGAGTTTTGCCTGCAGCAGGCAGGCAATTGGCGATACTTGTTTGGTGATTGGTGATACTTGTGTCCTTCCAGAGTTGTCAATCAAGGAGTCACTGAGATGCTGCTTCCGTCAGGGCCCCCAACAGGTCCTGGTGCCAACCAGCAGCATTTGGCCACTTTCTAAGTGCTTTCAGAAAGATGCACTGGTGTGTGGCCTGTGCAAAGTCCTGCAGCGATGCCAAAGAGAGAACAGCTCACTGTTTTCTCAAAATCAAACAGATCTGAGACTTCAAAATGCATTTTGCATCAATTTGTCTTCGTACCAGGGCTCCTGCTCCAGCTATGGCTTTCCGCCAAAATAATTTCCAATCAATTTAGCATCTGTTTCCAGTGTTGGTATCGCCAGCTCATCTGTAGTCTTCAGAGACCAGACGTGCCTCACATAGTTTCCTATAGGTCATAGTTTTCCACTTGCTTTCTTGCTTAGCAGCTGGTACCCAACCTCCTTCCTGTAGGCGAGAGGAAGCTGTGTGCCGTGCAGCCTGCGCAGCCTCCGCTGTGTTGGCACTGCTCGCCTACCCTGCTTTCTCCCTAACGTGACATTTGAGCTGTGGTCTCAGGTATTCGACACTCGCTGAGCCCAACGCTCCACGTCCCACGCATTGAGTGGCAGCCAGCTTTCCCAAACCCAACAAAACAAGAAGCTTTGCCCCACGGGCAGGACACACCTGCGTGTGCAGCGGGGTGCTGCGGATGTCTCTGCGAAACGTGTGCCCCTCGGAGCGCTGTGGTGGCTGGGAGAGCTTTCTTGCCAAAAACACGGTGGGAGACCCTCGCCAAGAGCAAGAGGCACGCTCTCCCACACAGAGCTCCGTTCTGCTGCCCTTGGCCCTTGTGTTGAGGCACCGCCAGTCCTGCCTCACCAGATGTGCCAGCCAGGCACAGGGACCTTCTTGCAGGCGCTTGTCTGTAAGGAGTCGTCCCCTTGTCGGGGACATGCTGAATGTCCCAGTTGCGCATTGGATCCTGCCAGGACATTTCACAATTTATTTTCTTCAATCCGGCTTATTAAACTCCCCTTCCTCCCCAGTCTTTTAAGAATTTGTATTTTCTCACCTTTAATTTACAGCACATTGTCAGTGTATAAATAGTCACTTCTACTTTTACCCGCCTCACACTTCATCAGTCACCTTGAGCAGGCTGCTCTCCCCACGGGCTCGAGCCAGCCCCTGGGTGGAAGCTGGGGAAAACCCCGGACTATTTCAAAGAACTTGGACATTGCTTCTTGTCAGCCAGCCCAAAAGTTTCTTCGTGTGGCACTTTGTTTCCTTATATCGGTCCTTTGCTTGTGTGGAGAGTTCATACGTCCAGGCTATGCTCCTTCTGAAACAGGACTGTCTTCTGTCAAAGCTCTTCCACTTTGGATAAAGTGATTAAATATTAATTTACATTTTCTTAAGCCTGTATCATCGGGCAGCGTGAACAGACTGTGAATATGTAGCTGTTATCAGTACAGGGAGAGGGTTCATCTGTTCACATTCGTATTTTTTTGTCCAAAGACCATCTCAAATGGACCTCTGCTTTCACCTATTGATACAGATGCTTAAAAACATATAAAAGCAGGATATTCCTGCACAAATGTAACTTTTCAAAAATAACTATTTGTTATTACCCTTTTTATTAAAACAGAAAGAAGCAAAGAAATAATCAGCCCTCTGCTGAGGGAGTCCTGCCTTAAAGGACTTTTCTTGTGGGCTTCAAAGTTTGGTGAAACCAAGACAGGGTCTGGAAAACTGCCTTGGTTTATGTCCCTAAATAAACATAGAATCATAGAATCACAGAATCATTAAGGTTGGAAGAGACTTCTAAGATCATCGAGTCCAACCGTCAACCCAACACCACCATGCCCACTAAACCATGTCCCTAAGCGCCTCATCTACACGTCTTTTAAATACCTCCAGGGATGGTGACTCAACCACTTCCCTGGGCAGCCTGGTCCAATGTTTAACCACTCAGACAGATCTGACCATCTCCGTAAATCAGAGCTGTCAAATGTGTGTCCCTCAGCCTCAGCAACAACCTTCAGTTGAGCCATAGGTGGTGAGGGTGCGGAGAGGAACTCCTTGCACTCCCAAATCCCGATGCAATGCATCTGCCATTGATACAGTAGAAATTAAGTCTTCAATCTTCTCGTATGGATGTGCTCACCAAACAGACCACCCTCTGTGAAACCTGGGCATGGGTGTTGCAGGCAAGGAGGGAAATCTGAGCTACCCAGCATCGCCCGCGCAGTGCTGCATGGCACTGCAGAAACCCCGCTGCTGAGACATCGCTAACGGCCTTTTGGGTGGTTTTGCATTTCGA